TCAATGGGTCTCATTTCTGATTTGCAGGTGGCGTGTATAAATCTACCATAAAAATGAAGTCACCCCAGATTTTCTGGGGGTCATGGCAGCAGGGAACAGGTTTATTAGAAAAGGAAATGCACACATACCCCTAATATATATTTTATATTAATAAATTTATATTTACAATATACTTATTTAATATATCAATATAATACATATAATATTTACAGGCTTTTAAAAAGATCTAAAATCTAGCCCTGGCTGGTGTGGCTCAGTGGATTGAATGCCTGCAAACCGGAAAGTTGCTGATTTGATTCCCAGTCCCACATGCCTGGGTTGCGGGTCAGGCCCCCAGTAGGGGGTGTGCAAGAGGCAACTGATGGATGTATCTCCCATACACTGATGTTTCTCCCCCCTCTGTCTCCCTTCCTCCCCTTTGCTCTAAAAATACATAAATAAAACCTTTAAAAGGAAAAAATTTCTTTTAAAAAAGATCTAAAATCTATTTCTGTTTAAAACAATGAGACCATGCATAGGAAAATGAAATATGATTATGAAATAATTTTTAATGTAGAATATTTCTTATATCAGTGGAAGAATATCCACTGAGAAAAAAGACTTAATTTCCTTTTATAAATAGCTAGGGATTAGAATACAATAGTTCTAACTCTGCTATTGCTGTGCATTTAAAGATGATGACTATATTGACAAAGAGGGAAGAGAGAATCAATAGATTATTGCTTCAATGAAGCTCACAACAGTGCTGATTAGAGAACACAAATGAATTGCATAATAGTAAGATAACTATAAACGAGTATGGATTTAAGCCGGTGTTAAGACCATTCTTAACTACACTGTATCTTTAGAAAACAGGCATTGACATTACAACAGCAAATTAAATCTATTCGACCACAAAATTTAATACATAAGAAATAGCATTTATTAATGATCTGGAAGAGAGAGTAAATAGCATGTTAATGAAATTTGCAGATGATACTAAATTGGAAGGTGTTACAAACAACAATGCAGACAGGGGCCTAATACAAATGGACCTTAAAAAATTAGGTAAAAGTCAATGGTGGCAAAAAAAAAAGCAGCAAATAGAACTTATAAAAATATTCATTGGAAAAGTCAACTTGAGAAAAAATAATACAAAAGAAGTGTGACTGAAAAGATGACTCTGGAATCTGATTGGGATCTTCTGATTATAATGGACTAGCTAATCTACTCCTGACAGGGCCTGGGCCAGCTGCTGGCCAGTAGCCATTCCTTTACTCCTCCAGCCCCTCTCTAGGCAGATCAGAACTGTACTTAGCCATGGACTTTTTGGAGGCAAGCAAAATGAAGAAACCATAGAAATCAAGCATGTCTGTTAATAGAGCAAAACAAAACAGAAGACCATACTGAAGAGAAAGGAATGACCAGTGAAGACACACAACTGTGTGTTGGTGCTATCTGTCTAATGGAGTATGGGTAATGAAGGGGGCCACGAGTGTAAACCTCTCAGCTCAGCATGTGTCACCTGAGCACTCAGCGAATCCTAGCGACCACCCTCATGTGATGACAATGGTCATTATTATTGTTGCCACTGCTACTACTATTACGACCACCGTGGGGACTGTCACTCCTGGCACTGTTTACTCAGATACTGAAGGGAGTTTTTCCTTGAACTTGTTAAATGTTCTTGGGTCTTTGCTCTTGTTGTTCTTGCTATAATACCTTTCCCTCTTTTTTATCCAGCAAATTCTCTTTGTTCTTCTTGTAGGGACTCCGAGTTTCTTTGACTTGGAAGCCTTCACTGACCTCCCAAAATTGTCAGGCACCCTGGTGTAATCCCCTGCTTTTGCCCTTTAAGAGCGCATCACAGTATAATTCCCTGTGTCTTTTCTGGCTTTTCCACTGCACTCTGAAAACTCTGTGGCAGTAGGGACTACGCCCGAGTCTCTGTTATAATCACAAAGCTCAGCACAGTGCCTGCCAGTCAGTAAATGTTTGTTCTATACATTTTGCAAAAGTCCTCCAATTTCTCTTCTTGCCCTACTGCTCCATTCATGCTCTAGACTACCTAAGCAAATTTGATACCCAAAATACTCTTGTGAATCTTGAGTCTTCCAGTTAAATGTGAAAACTAAGCTCAAACAATGACCTGATCTTCATTTGTAATTTTAAGTTAATGGCTACATATCTTAAAGGATGCTTGATTGTGTGCCTGAATTTCCCAGGGATTCAGAGTGTTACAGGAGATAAAGATAAAAGGTGGTAATTCTTAGCTGTGATCCGCACAGACTACTCATCATCTAAGATGGAGAACTGAGATGACTAGCGAAAATGCTCCTGGGTACCAGCTCTCATCATAGCTCTTATCACAGTAAGGGGAGGGAAGGATACGCAAAATGCTTTCTTCCTTTTAAGTTGCCTTTCCTTCTATCCTGAAGAGAATTTATGTCTGCACTTCTCTGATCTGCTGATAGCTGGTGGCAGTTTCAGAATTTCTATTTGAGAGTAGCTTACAGCCCTGACTGGTGTGACTCAGTGGGTTGGGTGCCAGCCAAAAGGTCGCTAGTCAGATCCCCAGTCAGGGCACAAGCGTGGATTGTGGGCCTGGTCCCTGGTTGGGGCGTGTGCGAGAGGCAACCTATGGATGTTTCCCTCACAAATTGATGTTTCTTTCCCTCTCTTTCTCTTTCCCTCCCCTTCTCTCTAAAAATAAATAAATAAACTCTTTAAAAAAGATTGGCTTAGGAACAACAATCTAGTTGAATGAAAGCCTAGGAGACTTTTTCCTTAAGCCAAATTTGCATAGCAAATGCACGGTTTTTAGTGTCATTGCATATTTATTTCGGAGGGTGTTCTTGGGTATAAGTGGGTGCTAAGGACTACCAATCCACCCCACTCCTGAGAGTACAACTATTTTTAGTATAGAGACATTTGAAATTAAAAAATGGGAAGGCTTCATAAGAGAGGTTTGACTAGGTCTCTCTTGCTATTGCTATTTACGTTTGTAAACATATGGGTGAGAATTAACCAATATGCTTCTAAAAAGATTTGAAAGCTTGAAAAAGTGGAGGCAGCCATGGGAATAAGTACTAGACTATAGATACTAGGTCTGGGGATTAAAGAGAGCAGTATAGTCACAAGGAAACCAGCAACTTGAGCAAAGAAGTTATACTTAAGGCAATCAGCTTATCACACAATTATGTATGTATTTCAGCTATGAACACATGCAGTAGAATATAAGAGATGACCTCATGGAGCTTACAACATAACTGAGAATACAAGAGAATGTCTGCCTGATTGTCATTTATTCAGGTTTGTGAGGCTCCTCTTTAGTGTTCACTGTTTCTGCCAATTATAAGGGGGAATAGAGTGAAGGAAAAATGGATGGGAAAGAAGGGGAATGTGTCTAAAAATACTGTCTCTTAAGGTACCTGTTCCAAATTTGAAGTAATACATTGATAGTTTCAAAGCTGGAACCTGTAGCTAATGTTTAAGTGGGCCTTCTTACTTCACAGAGGAGAAAACTGAGGTCTGTCCAGCAAAGCACCCGGCTGGTGAGTGACAGAATTAAGACCAGAAGCCACACCCTCTGACCTCGAGTGGAGTGTCCTCTCCACCACCATGCAGTTAGTGCCTTTGGAGGTGAGATAAAAGGTCTGGTGTTGCCTTATGCTTGGGTCTGTGCTAAAGAGCCTCAGTTTCCCCTTTAATGTTTAGATGGTTTTTAGAATGATTTGATTAGCTATGTTAATGTTATTTTTTAGAACGACAGTTTTCATCAATCTTAATTTCTCAGTTAGTGAAGTAGAATCCATCCATGCTAAAATTTCTCTTATCAAAGGGAAAATTTGATAATGAATCTGAATAAGACTAGAAAGCTATTTTTGACTTGTATTTACCCATCCCTCCGCTTTCACGTCTAACTATATGAATGATTTACAGCATATTTCCCTCCTGACCTCTTTCCTGAAACTGAGTTTCGTATTTCAACTGCTGCATCCCTACCTGTCTTTCCTCCCATGACCTCAGCTTAACAGGAAGCCAGCTTCTCCTCCACATACCCCTATTTCTGTCGATGACACCATCGCTGTTCCAGCCACCCAGGTCTGAAACCGGGGCATCATCCCTGGCTCTTCCCTTCTTCCCTTCCACATCTAGTAGGTCACCGGTTTCTGTGGCCTCCTCCTGAAACACGTCTCTCAACTCCTTTCCTTCTTTTCGATGTGCACTCCTACTCCAGTTCTCACGATCCCATTCCCAGGTAATGGCAGTATGTACCACTAATGCTGCTTCCCAGTTTTGCCCTGGCAACCTATCCAACAACCACTGTGGCCTGCCCTCTCTCTAAATCACCATTAAACTAAAAAGACAAAGACCTGTTTGACCCCTTTGATTCTAGCTTTCTATTTGCCCCCAGTGTCCATAGATGATGAACTCCAAACTTAACCCCCTGGAGAATGTTGCCATACCTTTGCTTCCACAGAACCATCCTTCCCAATATCTATTTCCACCTTTTGCTCTCACCTGACATGGATTTTAGTGTCCTTATCTGAACTCAGCTTTGTTAAAGTCACCAACCAGGGCAGCACACCATGACCCCTCCTCAAAAATTCAGTAGGCATCTACGAGTGGTTCCACTGAGGCAGTCTTCAGTCCTAACTCCTTAGAAATATCTTTACAGGTCTGTCTCCTTCCTAACTAGATAAATAAGTTCTTTAGGGCACGAAGCAACCTCCCTGCTTTTTACTGTTTGTGGAAAAGGACTGAGTTGTCGGGATAGGTGGTGGTAACACGTTTAAAAATACGTGAAGGCACAAAAGGGCGCAGAGGCATGGGCCCTCTCCCTGCGCCCCCCGCGACAGGGTAGGTGTCCCCCACTGAGCACGCCGCGCCCCACCCCCCCAGCAGCAGCCAGTTGCCTGGTGAGTTCCAGGGTGCTGGGGCGGATGGCACCCCTTGGGACGCAGGCCTGCGGGACCCAAGCGCCACCCCACGCTCCTGTTGCCCGTGCGTCGGAGCTGCGGCCCGACCACCGGCTTGCGGGGCGCGGGCAGGGAGGCCCAGCCGTTCCGCGCTCGGAGGTAGGTGGTGCTGTTGTCGTGACTGTCTTCCTCATTGGCGCGGGATAGAGAGGCGGAATGTTCAACTCCTGACTCCGGCGGAAGCGTGGGAGCCGCTCGGGACGCCGTCCTCCCGACCCCTGGTTGCAGCCCCTGCCCTCGCAGCGCGCGGGGCCTCTGCGCGCCCGGCTGCTGCTCGCGTCCGGCTTGGGAGCCAGGTAAGAGTCAGGCGGAGGCCGGGGAGGGAGAGAGTGCGAGGGAGGTCGGTCACGCTTGCGAGTCGCCCGGCGTCTCCCCACCGAGGCCCAGCCGGGTCTGGCCGGGAGCCTGGCCAGCCCGTGGGGTCCCCACCGGGACCCTCTCTCCAACCAAGAGCCCGCCAAGACGGCGTGGGAGCGAGCGTTCTGGGCCCTAACGGATTCGGCGCCGGACCTCAGCCGCGGCTCGGCCGTGAGCAGCCTGGGAAGTTTGGGCCGGTCCCACGCAGAAGTTGGAGAGCCGGGGAGAGCGGGGCGCAGCCCGGAGCGTCTGCGGCTTTCTCGGCCCTAGGCGCGCGGCGCGGCGCGGCGCGGCGTGGGCCGCCTCCCGGGCGGCCTCCTCCCCCACGGATCCGGTAGTACCCGAGCGCCGGCCTCTCAGTGGGTGACCCGGCTACCGCTCGGGAAGCGAAACTCGAGTTTCCCAAATCAGGTCAGCGTGCAGGCCACTTTCCAGCAGAGGTGTGTGCGTGCGAAGGGAGACCACAAACTTCTGCTTTTCTGCCAGGCCGGGCGTGTTATCTCCCACCCAGAGTGGCGACTTCCTGCCCGGCCCTGGGCAGCGTGGAGCTAGCACCAACCCGCACTCTCCAGCGTCCCCCTTTTCCTTTCACGGATGCTGAGGATCAGCCCTTTGGCTAAGCTGTGGCGTCCCCGGGTTCATGGGCTCTGATACCAGCACCAGACCCGGAGAGGAGTGCTGAGGCCGCTGCCACACCTCGCTTGCTCCTGACAGCTTGCAGAAAAACTTCAGTACAGAACTGGGAAGAGTACATCCAGCTGCCAAAAAAATAAAATAAAATGGGGCAGTCATTGTTAGAGTGCTGAAAAATGTACGTTTTAGGATACGCCTGGAGATCTTGCAAAAACATTGTTTATGGGGATCTTAATTATTATTTTTGTGAGTTTCTTTAATAATGAAAGCAACACCATGTAGTGGCACATGCCAAATGTACAATAAGCAGCTCTCTCATCAGTAATGGTGTACTAGAATCAACTTACATAATTAATTCGGGGATATTTGAGCTAAAGTGATTGTTAAAGTATATTCATATTTTAACCCTAAAGCTGTTTGAGGAGAATCCTCTTGCTTTTCTGAACTCAGTTGAATTGAACAGCTAGAGTCCAGTGGATCCAAACCTGCCAGCACATTTAAAGGCAAAAATAAACAAGTGATTCAAGACAGTTAATGTCCTCTTTGTCTCCACAGTGAAATTTCATGGTTTTGATTTTCAAAAAAATATGTGATGGCTGCATTTTTTATTATGGTTTTGGTGATTTGTAGAGCCTTTGTTTTAAATTCCTGCTACAATAGTGAGAGATTTCGGAAATTGTAAATGAACATAAATTTAGTTTGTTTGGAAAGAGAGAATTAAGATAAAGAAAAAGGGCCTTTTAGAACAATGTGTACTGTTTATTTTAATCTTAGACAATGTAATTCTTACGATAACTCTTTTTGGAATTGTTTTGGCAGTTTTTTTTAAAGCTGGAAAATATTGTTAAATCAAAAGTTTTAGTGCTAGTAATTCCAGAGTAAATAACCATACGATGACATTATTTTTTGTGCAGGGAAACAAATAGGTGATTGATCTCTTCGCTTACTCTTTCAGGGAACACATAAGAACAAACTGAAGAATGAGGGAGAGAGAAGATAGGAGAGGAGAGGGGAGAGAGAGAGAGAGAAATAACTAAATATTAAGCATGAGGATTTGGATCTAAAAATGGATGGTCAAAGATCTTGGGAACTAAGGGACCTTCTTGCCAAATAAGGAAACTTGGCAAGCTGCACTGTGTATTTTAAGTTAGCACATGAGTGAATGTTATTGGCAATATTTTGGCTGAGTGCCTATCTGGAATGAGCAGTGAAACTGACTTTGATAGGGCTACAAAATTATAAACAGAATTATGAGGGGCGTGGAGTGAATAATCTAGTCATAGAAAACACTGGCAGAATGACAATGATGTTTCATGAAAAGAGGTCAGACATAGAGTGTAGCTATTAGTGTGGAGTGTAAGAGAGAAATGGACAGTTGGTTTTGGAAACTGATGGATTTGGAGAAAAGAGAGGAGAGAATCAGTGCTTTTTTTTAAACCAGAAAAAGGTATTTGTGGTGATATAGTCCTTCTTAGAATAAGAGCCTATGTCTGTATCCAGAGATGTTGGAAATAAAAGTCAATTTGGATCATTTGGTTTCTATTTTTTTAAAGATTTTATTTATTTTTAGAGAGAAGTGAAGGGAGGCAGAAAGAGAGGGAGAGAAATGTCAGTGTGTGGTTGCTTCTCGTTCAACCCCTACTGGGGGCCTGGCCTGCAGCCCAGGCATGTGCCCTGACTGGGATTCAAACCCATGACCCTTTGGTTCTCAGTCTGGAGCTCAATCCACTGAGTCACACCAGTCAGGGCTGGTTGCCATTTTATTTTACCCTGGACAGGTTGATAGGGAGGGAGTTGTGTCCTACTGCAGGGAAGATTTAGGCCACATCTTTTGTGGCTATTAACCTTGCCCTGCTCATTACAAATAAACAGAATTCTAGCTGTGAACAGAAAACTGCACCTGTTAAGGAAAGAGAGCTATAAATGCTACAGCTTAGATTGGTTTGGCCGAGACATGGGAGCTTTTGGGTCAAACCTTCCAACAGACAGCAGAAGCCTCGATTATGCCCTAATCACAGGTAAATAATCCCAGCACAGTAGCAGATTCTGTGAGAACAAAGCAGCCACACATTTGACACCTGAACCCAGCATCAGGATTGCTAGTAGGAAATGAAAGCCTTGGACTGGACTTTAGGGGGATGGTAAGCAACCCAGTAATTACTATAAGAAAAGGGTCTGTTTAAAGAGGGAGGAGAAAGCAAATGAGAAGGAAGAAGAAGAATGACACAGTGGAAGGAAGACATACAGTGTGTTGGGAAAAATGGTATGACTTTGGGGTCAGACCTGAGTTTGAATCGCAGTTGTGTCACTTCTAAGTTAGGCAGTCGGCTTGGGCAACTCTCATACCTTTGATGCTCAGTTTCCTCACATGTAAATTTGGAAGGGTAATACCTGCTTTATAAGCATATGAGACAGCACATGGAAATGCTTGAACCAGTGCCTGAAACTGCAGCTGCCATAACTGAGTAATAGGGAAGGGTGTTTTCCCACATTCTCAAGTTATCCACGGAGAGAGCTGCCTGTCTCACCTACCCTCAGTAAGGGCTTGCCCTTGTAGCCTGCCCTGGTCCCAGGTCATGCTTACATGTATATGTGGGGCCAGGAGGTTTTCATAGCTGCTCTTCTGCTTTTAGTATAAGGGTTTCTAAAGCACCTTTGTGTACCTCTGTTCATATACAGCCTTCTAATGTTCTCAGGGGTGAATCTGAAAATGAATGCATTTAAATATTTATGTGAGAAGTTTGAAGAATTTGGGGGTTGCATGAATAGTGGAAGGTTATTAGCTTAAGACCAGAATCATCCTTAGAGCTGATTTTGAGCACAGCTTATCTCTGGGGACCAACATCCTTCTTCCTGGACTTATGTCTGGACTTCATATAGGAAAACCGAAGGGAGAAGGCAGGAATTGTGTTTAAAGGTCGTGGAGTAAATCTTTGCTTATTAAACTTATCTGCCAACATGTTCTGTTATGGGGAAGAATGTGTTCCTTCAGGGATTTTAAAATATAGCCATAAATACCCCTGATGTAAGCAAGCACTTTCTTTAAAATGTTTTATTTAACCATGAGAATTCATGTGAACTTTGCATTCTCTTCTGTACTGTTTGACTTTATTGAACAAACCCATGCAAACAGATACTAAGCATCTTCATTCCCCAAATCTTAAAAAGTGAAATCAGTGCTGCAGGATGTGTGTCTATTCGTACGCCTTCTGCACGGTGCTGGGTGCTCCACCTGTGGGAATACCCATGCTCTGGACTACGGGCCTGGTTCTGGTAAACGGTGCCGTGCCGTTAAGCGTCACGGCCCAGCCCAATGCATGCAGTGATGCAGTTCCATCTTGCTGAGGAAATAGTAGGGGTAGATCACCATCTGAAGAGTTTTCATTTTCTGTGGTTTTACTGTGGCTTTCGAGGTGAAAAGAGCTCTTTGCCTTGAAAGTGGAGGGGAGGGTGGAGGACACTGGTAGGATAGGAATGTGGCGTGTGGCTTTCACCTTCCCAGCAGTTTGGGGGAGAAATTGAGGTGGATAGCCAGCCATCTCCATTGCGTCCCTCACTGGTGTTAATCCCTGTGCCCTTCTACAAGGACAAGGGCCTCTTAGTGTCAGCTTTTTCACTATCCCTGAGAAGGGGACCATTCATACTTTATAGTAGGTTAATTAGCTGTTGTTCACTCAAAGGGTTGGAATGATCTTAAGAAAACATCCATTCTGCTCTTGAGGCTAATGCTGGAGTTTCCTACTGTAGTACACGCCCACCTCCCATTGGGTACCTTCAGTGCTGGGGAACTCACTATTAAACAAGGTGGCATGTTTTCTTGTTAGGCAACTCTAATAACCAGAAATTCTTTTCTATAACTTTTGTCCACAGATGGCTTTTCCCTCTGGATCAGCGATGCATCATTTAGAGTCTTTCTTTGGTCTTCTCTAGTCTTAGCACCCCAGTTTTCTTCCTTTCACTTTACATCCAGATCACCAGAATTTAACCCTCATATTGGCCCTTCTCAGTGAGCATTCATTCTAGGTAACTAATCCAGAAATGGTGGTACCTGTTTGTTAGCAGTAGCCAGTATGGTCAGATTCTTCCCATTTGACAGAAAACCGTGTTCAAGGGTAGAAACAAAAGCCAAGCAGCAGCAGGTCTGGGAGGGTGCGGGGCTGCTGACTGAAGTATGCCCTCTTCACTCGGGAGCAGCTGCTGTCTCCCCACCTGACCTGCAGACACCTGTGAATTCCTCTTCCAGCGGACCCAGCGCCATGTGCCCCGCTAGTGCTCCTGTGCTTCATTCAGAGTCTGAATCCCTGTT